TTTGTTCAAATATTTTGTGCAATACTTTATTTTCAAAAAGTCTAAGGCGTTGTTCATAATGTAAGAGGCAACATTCGGTATTTTTAAAAAATCATAACAAGAATAATAGTTTTGAAAATAATAATTATTAAGTTCCATGTCAAAAAAATTGTGATTATTTGATATTCATATTATGGTGAATACTGAAAACATTTTGTTTAATTTTCTTGGATGTGATAATCACTTATCTCAGTTAAGACGGTTTATGTTTGTTTTCCTTTTGGCTAAATATAATTTTTTTTTCCCAAAATGATACAGAAGAACCCAAAAAAGACCGATCGTAAATCAAACAGATTCGCAGCGACATTGAGAATTAAAACACTAAACCAAGAACAAACACTCCAAGCGGTTCGAGCCGACTTTACATAACGTTGCGTGAAATCCGGTTATCTCTCATTTCGGCGTTGTCAGCGCTTTTAGTGATAGTGAAACGTCTGCGATGTTGAGGTGGATTTACTAAAATTATACGAAAAAACAATTCCCAGAAGTGACAAATACTAGATCAGGCGAGTATATCGTGAAAGAGATCCGATTTACGGCAATAAATTTTCTATAATTTATTTTATTATTTATTTCATCATTATTTACTCCAAAAGTTGGATGATAGAGATATCACTAGTATAAAAGGATTATCAATATTTATGAAGTTTTAATAGCACTAAAGGAGGAAAAAAAAAACGACTTGAGGAGCTACACGAATCGATTGTATTCCATAATCATGTTTGTTTTTGACACGAATTTACTTTTTTCTCGTTTTTAGATCACGAAGCTTGTTAGCTACACGATCTAGGTCATTGCGTGTACATGTGTCCTATTGTTAGTAATATCCACGCATCCTATCGCATCATGTGATTATCTCACTGTGACATCATACAGCGCATGTATCATCTGCGTATAGATGGACCATTTATAGAAAAAATATAAACAATATAACATTGTTTTATATTTATTTTGGTTAAAATTACTTATATATGTAACTAATTAATCGATATATATTTTATCAATGTACAGGATGTCTCAGGGTGGTTATTCTAAACAAAATATCCTACAAAAAAGTTAGTTTAATACATTGGCCCCCCAGAAAATAAGTGACGAATTTTTTTTTTTTTAATGGTCACGGTTTTTATTAAATAAAAAAGAATTGCACAAAAATTGTTCAAGATAATTAAATTCTAAGTATACAATCGTAAAGTAAATCAAAATTTCTTTGAGAAAACAACGATTAAATATACTATGTCTTGCTTTACTTCCGAAGATCAGGGAAGATCTCTCATCCAGCTCCTCTTCAGTCTCCTTCTAATGGGACTGTCAACAGTGGCCATGTTGGTTACGAGTTTGTTGTTGTGTTCTTGTAGTTCGAAGTGAAAACATTCGATACAGTACCCTTTTTCTCAAAAATGGTTAGTTGTCGATACTCTAACTAAACTTAAAACATTGGAAATGGCTGGATGTATGGTAAAATTTTTATGGTTACCAAGTCATGTCGGGATCAAAGGCAATGAGATGGCAGGTAGCATGGCCAAGAGAGCTATCAAAGAAGGTCAACCTATCATCACCACTCAACCTTCTGAAGTGGTCTCTTTAATCAAAGAAAAATCATGGTTGGCGTGGCAAATAACTTGGTCTGCCACTAGAGATAATAAGCTAAGGGTTGTGGAGCCATAGGTCCGGAGAGTCACTCCAAATATTCTGCTGACCAGAAGGGAAGAAGTGGTACTGATCCGGCTAAGAATCGGACACACTAGGCTTACTCACGAGTACTTAATGAGGAAAGACTGTCCTACTCAATGTATTTCCTGCGGGCTACCTCTCACAGTGAGTTCATATCCTAACCGGATCAACATCTTCTCAGAAATAGCCTTGAAGAATCACTCCAAAAGGATCCCAATGCTATTAAAAACTTAATGTTGTTAATAAATAAAGATAAGTACAAACAGTTCATTTGATACATTGGCCGATCCCGGAAAAATAAGTTACGACGTATTTTTTTTTTTTTAAATGATCACGGTTTATGTTGAATAAGTAAGAATTGCTCAAAAACTGTTCAATATAATTAAATTCTAAGTACACCATCGTGAAGTAAATCAAATTTTCTTTGAGAAAATAGTGATTAAATATACTATGTCTTGCTTTACTTCCGAAAATCAGGGAACCTCCTAATGTGCCTGTCAACGGTGGCCATGTCTGTTATGAGTTTGTTGTTGTGTTCTTGTAGTTCGAAGTGAAAATATCAACAAGACGAGATTAATATTATTAAATATAAATTATAAATAATGACTCATTATAAAGGGAATGAAATACTGAACATTTTCCTTGCTTGTAGTAAGCATGTTTTCAACACTATTTTTTCCTTATTGCCTCTCTAATTTTTTCTTCGCTTTAAGATACAATTCTGAATAATTGCACATTACAGAGTGGATGAAATGCTGAGCAATTCACTTACAGTATGCAGGGCCGATTTTTAGTTTTTGAGATATTTCAATCCAAATACAAAAAGTCTTCCATTAGTCGACTCCAGCTGATTTTACCCGAGTGTTACACATCGCAGATCTGACGACTCAATCTGATTCTCTATCCACAAAAAACTGCAAAACGCGCCTTAAGTAGTTTTCATTTAAAAAATCATTTCTACTTAATTAGGATTGAATGTTAAATCGTGTAATGCAGTCACGATATTTCATGTTTTTCATTGTGACAGATATAAGACCGGAAAATCCCGGCAATTACCAAAATTTTATTTTTAATTAACAATATAAACATCAATACAAGCTTCAAGTAAACTGTAGACAATATTGAATATCATCCTACGCGCTTGAAGAGGGTACTCTCAGTGATGATCTTTCGACCTTGCCAATCACTTCGATAATTCACAGAAATTTCTCGATAGGTCGCGTTATCGTTTCCTGAAACATTTTCTCTTCGTCTCGAACGATCTTGTGAAAAGAAATAAAAGGAATGTTGCATTGTCGCGGAATTTCATCATTTAATGAATCAGCAATATCAGAACATCAGCTGTTTTATTCTAGAACTATCAAACATATTTATCGACAGTGGAGGGGGAAAAGGGAAGATTTTTTCCTCCTAAAATAACTTGACAAAACTTAAAGAATAATGGTTATAGCTTCATAGGCCTATTGGTTATGAGGATTTCAAGCATTGTGTTATTTTTCCCGCAGTCTTACTTCAAATAGATTATTAAACGCTTAAAATGAAATTCTGAATTTTAGTTTTATTAATAGGTTTCGATATAAATGGAATATTTATTTTACGTTTAGACTAACAAAACTCTACATACTGACCTCCAATTTCCAACTGTTGACCAACATATAACGACCCTTTATCAAAGATTTTACTCAAATTTAAATGGCCATAATAACAGACTTATAAGAGACATGGCCACGGCTGACATACCTCAGAACATGAGGAGGAGACTAAAAAGGCGTTGGATGAGGGATCTCCTTCCTTAGACAACCTAAGTAATTAGAACAAGTTAGGGAAGAGGTACTGCTGAGTACTTTCCTTCCCCATGCCTATCATGTCATTATATCATGTAACATTTGTTGATTGTCAACAATAAGTTGACAAGCGGAAATATATTTTTTGATAGAAAAAAAAAAAAAGTTTAGAGTTTTATTAACCAATTATTTCAATTTGGTCTGATCAGGCAACATCTATCGGTGGTTGCAATTAATAATAAATAAATAATTTTTATATGGTTACATTTTTTATTTTAACAATATCAATGTAGTACAATTCTATGATAGTATAATAATGCAATATAGTTTAATGATATAATACGTTACGATTATGTAATATAATATATAAATGATAATTACAATAATGTAAATATATGAATATATAGCGGTAATAATCTATAAGATAACAAATAAAATAATATGAAAAGAAGCATATGAACAATAAAAAAAATTATTTCGTACTATATTTGATCCATAATATTAGAGGTGACTGACACTTAGAAATTAAAGATTTATTTTTCGAAGGAAGGAGATGGTCCGGGGTGGCAAATAGTGGCAAAACTATTTTATTAAAAGCCAACGTTTCGATCCGACTTTTCAGATCTTCTTCAGGGAGGTGTGTTCAGCTAGAACTTTCACTTAGAAGAACCTAGGTGAGTTCACTTACCTTGCTGAACACACCTCCCCGAAGAAGATCTGCAAAATCGGGTCGAAACGTTGGCTTTTAATAAAATAGTTTTGCCACTATTTAGTCTATTTATGACCGCCACCCCGGACCATCTTCTTCCTTAATAATGCAACGGTCAACTATTGAATATTCAATACGATCTCTTTTTTAGTTGCCTTAGTGTTAGGTTGAACAGATCTTATGGTATTCGATTGAACAGATAGGAAATCATCTAGCTCAATGTCCGTTTCTCGAATCTATTGTTAAATGTAGGTTTCAAATAGTTAGTTTTGCTTCTGACGTTGTATACGTAGCTGATTTCATTTTTAAATAAGTCATGATGTTTGAATTTGAGTGCTGTTTTGTATATGTAAAATAAATTTGGTGGTAATGATCAAGCTATTTTGAAGTTTTCTTCTGTATCCCGTTATATACCAAAACTAATTTTTTTGTTCATTTTTCAAATTTTCACAGTTAATTTCTTGTTTCAACCAACAGATTATTTTATATAATAACAAATTATATAGACGGGAGGAAAATAATAAAGGCAAATTGGAATATCGTACTATTTTTAGATTACTACTAGTTAAATAGTTCGCCAATTGTCCTTTCGTTTAATAACACATTTTTAAGAATTTCTAGAAACAAAAACTGTGGTAGAAAATTTTCAATAAAACGCCCCACCGCGAGGCAAACTATCGCCAAACACTTAAGAAGACATAGCTGTCGAGTCTGGCAGAAATAGCTGCTGTGAAACGCCAAAGAAAAAATTCGCTCGACCAATTCGTCACGATGGGACCGTTATCCGCTTGATGTTGATGACGCCGCGAACTCCGGGTCGACCTGGAATCGACCGCTTTCTTTTCTGTTTTCAGATTTCAGCCTTCCAACACTTCGAACACTGCGGCGCAGTTTGGCACGAGAAAGCATGCATTGACGCCTTCTGGAGACAGATCCGATTATCACGGTTCGTAAGAGAGAATATATCCTTGGTTTAATGCGAAAAGTCACCAAGTATGTTTTTGTTGGAGTTAAACTTTTCACTATCAATGATATTCCATCATATCCATGCAAACCTTATTACACTACAATATCACAAACTCGAACGTAAATTTAATTATGAATATTAACAGATTTAATTTTCTCCTCATGCAAGACTGAATCGACAAGAAACTGCTCGAAGTTTCTGCTTACTCCAACACTTACTAGACAAATGCTCTAAACTTCCAATTAATTACAAAATACTTATATACATGACTATAATAAGACCTGTTTAGACTTACGGAGTTGAGGTATCTCGGGGCTCCACTAAACCATCAAATTCGTCTCTTATCCAATCCTTACAATCCAAAATCGTTCATATTATCCTCAATGCTCCTTACTTTGTCACAAATAATCCATAAAGACCTTAACGTTCCATATGTTTCCAATTTGGCCCAATCTCAAATTTATAAGTATTTTTTTTCGCCAGATCTCCAGAAGAATTACTCAAGAATTCATAATTTTTTTCTATTCAATATTTTGTTTTTATTCAAAGCCTATTGTAAGTCAAACAAACCAAAATATAATGTAAAAATTCCAGAAGTGTACCATTAGCCATTGCTGAGTTCATAGCTGGCAAAATAACAAAAACAACATTGGACATTGAGTCATCCAAACGTGATTTGAATATTGTGGCGGCCGGGGTGAAATGTTTGGGATTTTTTTCCCGATTTCCGATTAATTCGTTTGGTTAATTCTTAAAATGTATAAAACATTTGTTAGGCTCAGGAGTTGGATCGAATGACACCTTAAACGGAAAGATCGGAAAAAGTTGAAAAATGAGTGTGTTTTACCCGTGTTTTGTGATAATTTTTTCCATCAGTTGAGTAGTACAACTTTTAAATGTGTCTCGTTGTAGAGTAGGTTGGGATGAGAATCGAAATAAGTAACTGCCTAACCGGGATCTCAAGACAAATTACTCAAGAATTCATAACTTTGTTTCTATTCGATATTTTGTTTTCATTTAAAGCCTTTTTAAGTCAAGCATTTATTTTAAGTCTAGCAAATCTAAATATAATGTCGAAATTACAAAAGTCTACCATTAACTATTGCTGAGCTTGCCCCTGACAAAATTTCGTTGGGCAATCCGGACATACAGACAGATCAAAAAAAACTTATAAGTGGATTTATTGTCTGTAATGTATGAAGTGGAAAGATATCATGAAATGGGTTGATTATATTCAATATACAGACAATTTTATTCATATAGATTAGGAAAAAGAAAGATTATAGTAGAGGTAAGCAACTTAAGGGAAATCTTTTGAATACGTATGTAATCTTTTGTTGTTGTAAAAAAAACAATATGGCATATTTGAACTTAATCTCTCAGACTAAGCCTCTGCATCCATAAAATGTTTTTAGAAGCTGAACGTTATTTGAAAATTAAACCTTTTGATAAAATTGAAAACTGAGCTCTGATTGTAACTTGTTGAAGAGAGAAAAGTATATGTTATTATTTAAATAACTAATCCGGTTATATAATCCGATGTAGCTCCACAATTATCAACGATGCTAAATTGTAGATGTCTTTGACGTAAGGATTAGGCATCGACGCAAATCTCTGTCCAACAAGGTTAAATAAATCATTAGTAGGGAATTTTTTTTCTTCTCGATCGGTCTAATCATACGCAAATGTTTTAATTGGTGTGGCACCCTCTTGTTAAATACATGGTATAGAATGCAGAACACTCGAAATAATCCTTTTGGCTATTCAGTCACTCAGAAGATAAAAATATAAAAATAATTATGAAAATGGACAGCTTTGTTTCAGCCTTATCTACATAGAATACACTTATGTATTGTTTAAATTATTTTCTTTAACGATTATTTCTATTTTATTTTTAACTAAGAATTTTAATAATTTACTTTAATAAATATTGCAAATAACTTTTTTAAATAATTATATGAAATTATAATTTGTATGTGTTTTATTATAAAATATATATCTACTAATTCAGCACCACCAATCTCGATATATGCCAGATTACAAAGATTCTATTGCATTTCGAGTAGCTGAGATATTTTAAGAAGAAGAAATGTATTAAAAGTTTGTAATTACTTCGAAACAGGTAATGGAAACCAATAGCGGATTCAGGATTTGGAAAAGGGGGGGTTTATATATATGTGTATATGTGTGTGTGTGTGTAATTTTAATAATGGTAATTACATTAGAAAAAACGGGGAAAACATGTAATTACATAAAAAATAATTCTTTTCAAGATAAATTTGTAATATTTTTTCTTTTGTATATCCTTACATTTAGTAGCTGTACCACCATGATAATTCAAAAAGAGAATATACAGCGATTTTTTTTTTAAATATTTATTTTTGATTGGTCCACGTAAATTTGGATTAATGAAAAAAATCTTGACACTATATTTTTCCCATTTTGCTCGATATAAAGAGGATGAAATGCTGAACGTTCCCCTCGCATACAGTATGGAGGTCCGATTTTTAGTTTCTGAGATGTTTTAATTTATATGTAAATACACTATAAGTAGTCGACTCCAGCCGTTACATGTCGGAAACCTGACGAATCAATCTAATTCACTTTCCTCGAAAAAAAGTCCAAAACGCACCTAAAGAAGCTTTCACTTGAAAAAGAATATTTTTCCATTTTGGGAGGGGGGAACTTCAGAATAGACAAGTCTAATAGACCTCTCACCCTAACAGAAACAAAATATGGTAGAATTTGAGAATGTAATTACAAAATATACGTACACGGATATTACCAATAAATGACATTGAAATTTAAAAAATTCAATTAAAAAAAGGAATTATAATTTTGAATCCACTATTTATTTTAAAAATAGTTAATGTCTAGTTTATAATCGATTGTTTCTTGTTTAAATTATAGAATAATTTTATTATTTATAAGAAAGCAGGTGAGTCGATGACAAGAGGTAAGGATCGAGCTGTAGTATCGATAATTGGTGGAGGATTTGCCTGGGCGTGACGTCACCGGCGGCCTTGAACCTCGTCCAATCAGTTGTGACGCCTCCTACTCACACTACCATTGGGCGCTCACAATTTTTTCTTTTTCTATTTTTCTTCTTTTTTTTCCTTCTCCTTAACTCCTTTTACCTGTGTCCTCGGCTCTTTGTCTCGCCGGAGTGTCCTTCCAGATTATTCAGGATGGCGATTGTCTCTTCAACACAAATATGAATCCAGTGGAAGATTTACTTCACTGCATCTCAATTTTCAAATGTTTTTCTTCTTTTTTTTTTACATGAATATAGGTATTTATCTACGGCCACGTTGCAAAAACATGTGTGTAAAAAAATGAAAAAAAAAAATTTAAATACGAATAAAACTGCTTAGAGAACTGCTTTATATCTTCTGAACATGACCCTTAGTTCAATTTTTTCTTTTTGAATGGGTGTGAGATCATGAATATTGTGTTATCCGATAAAATTATTCTTACTGAATTATGCAGTATAATAATTATAATACAGCATAATTATATTTTTTATTTAATTTTATCTAAAACTGTACAGAATAAAATTTAGAAGTTTAAACTTGCGACAGAATGAAAAAAACATACATTATTAAGACAAAAATGAATCCATATCTTCATATAAATATCAAACACCTTCCGACAGTTATCGACCCTTTACCAACGATTTTACACTAATTTAACAGAACATGAGAAGGAGACTAAAAAGGCGTTGGATGAGAGATCTCCTTCCTTAAACATCCTAAGTAATTGAAAAAAGTTAGGGCAGAGATACTGTAACTCCAGCACATTTGCTGATTGTCAACAAAAAGTTTACAGGCGCAAAAACATTTTTACAGACAAAAAAAAAAAAGGTTCAGCTATGTTGAGAATGGTCAATAACACTCGGCCATGTTTTCAGGTACAAGTGTTCAAAAGATTAAATCCTGTAGAGATGTAGAGATGGTTGACCGTGATATAATATGAGAAGGAGTTGATCGGAGGGTGCGGTCAAATAAATACTAAATTATATATATATAGTATTATTTAATTTTTTTGCCGACGTTTCGAACCACTTTGCAGGTCTTCATCAGGGCTACAAAAGATACAAAACAAGTGAAAATTAAATAAATGAATATAAGTAGTAATAAAATAAGAAGAAGTTGTCTGATAAATAAATAAAAAGATGATATCAGAGATATAGTGGGTGACATTGTAGTTAAATATCAAGTATTACATATATTACATATATATATATATATATATATATATATATATAGAGAGAGAGAGAGAGAGAGAAGATACAAACAAAAATGGAAAATAAGTATGAATAAAAATAAAAATAGAAATCAAAGGTGAATATAGTGAGGAAGAAAAAAAAAAACAGATTTTGATGAAAAAGATAAGATATGAGTGGATAACAAACTGTTAAAAGTTACATTTGATAATTGTAGGTTAACAGATAAAGAAAAAGGGTTAACGAATAAAGAAATCGAAAAATGGATAAATAATGGTCGAGTAAAGGTAAAATAATAATAAGATAACATAATAATAAGATATCAGTGGATAACAAGCTAGTGGAGGTTACACTTGATAAATGTAGGTAAACAGATGACGAGACTAAAGGTTAATGTGTATGTCAACTTATTATTTCTTTATTAGACAGCTGTTTGCAATTTAATATCTACTTATAATTCATTTATTTTATTTTCATCATGTACCTAATAGAAAACTAAGGAGAATATAGCATGTACATAAAAAGTAATATAGCCCTTACGAGGACCTGTAAAGTGGTTCGAAACTTCGGCAAAAAAATTAAATAATACTATTTGTATAATTTAGTATTTATTTGAGCCCCCCCCTCCCTCCCCCCCAATTAACTCCTCATTAAATCCTATACTTTCAATCCTGGAAATTTAATAGTTGTCCGTAAGGAGGGTTGTCCAATATAGGGAGACTTCTCTAGATTATATTACATCGCTTTAGGGTAGAAAATACTTGTAGATAATTATCTTGAAGCTATCGTCATCCGGAAGCCAGACCACACTGGCAGGTACGTGGCCATACCCCGACAGCACTACCCTCAGAGGACAGCCGTCCCGTTACGAAGGAGCTGGAAGTGGAGGGGATGGAAAGGAATGCACACCGAGCCTCTATGAAATATTCACCGAACCGGTCTTGGAGCTCTGGGATCTACCGTATCCTCCGTGGCCGGCTTATCTCCGCCCAGGATCTGGTTAAGTGGTCGGTTAACTAAGCTTAGTTTAAGGGGCCGGTTAATTATAGTCGGTACTAACTGACCTAGCGTAATCTATCTTTAGTTAGTTCAACTGCTATTTAAAGCGCTAATTAAAAATAGATTTATATATATAAATAAAAAAATTATATTATTTAAAATTCCACAGCCATAAGGCCCTCTAACAAAACAGAAAAAGATAAGATCGCATAACCAGAGGTAAACTATCCCTCATCAACATACTGAATGAGATCAAATAGATTCAAAGACTCATTCAATGATGATAGTCCTTTCTTTAATGTCACATTTAGTAATATTTATTTTTTTTAATTTTCTTATTATAACAGCTATATTATGTTTTTTAAAGCCTTGTTTAAAACGTCTATTGTGGAAAATAAAACCACACATTCCTTCTACTTACTTTCTTATACTTCAATCTTCTTCCTCGACCGGTTGTTTTGTATTTTTGTAGATTCCTTTATTTCTTCCTTTTTCTCTCTACACATCTGATATCCCGAGCACCCTAGCACTACCCTCTATAGTTTCGCTGACGAGATAGCAATTATTATATCTCACACAAATCTTACTATTGCTTCAGTTGTCCTCCAAAATCATCACAACGACCTAGAGAAGTGGGGAATCAAAGCTAATGGCGGCCAGTCAAGTCATATTAGCTTCTCCTTGAGAAATATTTCGTGTCCTGCTGTGTTAATAGACAACAAGTTACGATAGTTCAACAAATGGCAAATCAATGTTAATGGCGGCAAATCAAGTCACGTTAGCTTCTCCTAGAGAAATATTTCGTGTCCTGCTGTGTTAATAGACAACAATTCAGTTCCCTCAAAAAGTCATGTAAGATATCTCGGACTATACTTGGACAAAAAACTCACCTGGAACATACACACCAAACTAAAAAAAGCAAGAACTGACCAGGCGTTATAAACAACTGTCACATCTTTTGGACTGCAGATCTCCTGTCAACTTAGAAAACAAGGGACTAATCTACACCACCATACTAAGACCTGTTTGGACATACGGAGGAGAACTTTGAGGTTCCGCAAAACACGTTCACACAAACAAAATACTTCGACAAATCATAAATTTATCCTGGTATTGAACATTTCAACAGTAAAAACCTACATACAAAACAAATACTCCACATTCCACACTTCAACTATTAACCACCCTAATCCTTGTCCACTCTCTTTGTTCCTCCTTGTTACCTGGGGTGCCTCAAAGAAGACTAAAAAGGCAGTGGCCTCGGGATCTGCTCACAACATGAACAAATTTTCAAGAAATAGCAGACAAAATGCACGACAGCTCATTTTCTAGATGCGTTCAAACGCAGTTGGAAATATAATTATAACATAAATCCTTCTTGAAGTCATTTATATTCGTCCTTTTTATGTCATATATATATATATATATATATACATATATATATATATATATATATATATATATATATATATATATATATA